CTTTATATCCCACCCTCCTAAATGGCTTAGATATAACGTGCTAATACAATATTTCACAGTTAATTAACTTGGGCTTTCCATCGTCAAGTGACTAATAGCTACAAACCTCTGATAACAAGTCAATATTTTTTAGTGGTTTCCACAGGCGGACAGTAGGGTTACCTCATTCCAGCAACAAGGTCTTGGGACACCAATAACCAAGTTCAAACCCTTGTTTTCAAGCACGTCTGCTGATCAACGTGATCTCCACTGGTATGCTATCAATGTCTTTGTAACACATCGAAAAAATTATTAAAATACAACACATCGGGTTTTTGTAGCATCCATGTGTTAGCACATTATTTTCCCACAAAGTACGGAAAAATTACCTCTCCAACTCAGGAAAGCGGTTCCACTCACCACTGATGCGCACTAATTCATCAAGATTCAAATTCCTGTTGTGACTGCTTGACAATTAAGCAGCCGTGGTCATCGACCAACAACTATGATTCAGCTTAAACTTATGAAAATTATCAAACATTATACTTCGGATATCATAAAAGTACATATTCTACAATCTCTAAAATTAGTACCCAAATATATTTACCACTTCCCTGATAGTAATGCCAATCAAACCTTAAAGTTGATTGATACATTTTTTACTTGATTGTTTATTTAGTAGCGATATGAAATCCGGGCTAACAGTAGTTTCAGGTGTGTTAAGTAATCAACAGCATCAACTAATGAGTTGTTGGCTCCTTTAAGTGAACAATTTATTTTAAAAAAAGCTGTCTCTCATCGTTCACTAAAAGGAGCCGTCATGGACGACACATCTCTATAATTTAAATGATATATGAGAAATATATGCTGAAATTGGCTGAGTTATAAACGGCAAGTGGTTCTAAATGAAGTACCGTTTTGGAGCCGAAAGAGTGGAAGAGTTGGATCTTATTGGTGAGCTGAGCCAAGTAATCTGGATGACCTATTGTCCTTCCTGCCTGTGGAGGATACTGGAAGACCCTTTCTGCCAATGTGAGAGGAAAAAAGGATTCTTAATGTAATAATAAGTAAGTAATAATGAAACTAAAACTAAATGAAACTTTCTCAATTTTTCCACTTAGTGTCTTAAAATAATGCCTTTGTCATAAAACATAATTAAGACTTTTTATCTCATAATTTCGAATTTTACATTGAGGATATTTTTATATTTTTAAGGCTAAGTTTTATCTGGGCTTCCATAATTTTGAAAAGGTTCCTCATTATAATGAGTTATTTTTCCCCCATCACATTGGCAGAACGGAGCTTCCATAGAACGCCTCATCCCTCCTCCTCAGGTTGTTTTTGGGAGGAAGAAGCAGGAAGTATCAACCGCATCCAGTGCACTGATGATACAGATAGAGTGCAGTCATCATCTTTACCCGTGATTATCCAAAAGTCAGCGGTTTCACATCGAGGTATCATTTCTTCAAACCAACACACACACACACACACACACACACTGTGTATCTGTTGAGTTTCGTTTCGTCTGAACCGACCGCCCACCGAAATCTAAACTCTGCTCCTCTCTCCTCTCTCCTCTCTGCACTCATCCGCTCACTGAGCTCCTCCTCTACATCAGCCTGCTACACTGCGAGGACAGACTGCAACAAGACAGTAAGTGTTGGTCTGTTTCTATCTTCTACAGATTATTCATTTATTCAACCGGATGCAGTATTTTGAGGAAATCCATTGTGTAGTGAGCAGACAATACATCTGTGTATGGACAATAGTTAGTGAACTCTGAGCTGCACTGCTTAATATGAAATGAACCAATGATAAATGTGGGCAGCAAAAAGATGAAACCAGGTCAGTTTAGTCTTTCCAAAGTGAACACATACAGGTCAGACAGGCTGAGAGGAAAATAAATCTCACACATTTGTGGAGGGGAAGCGATAAATTAATCACCAACGTTTGAGCAGAGTGATGAAATGATCTTAATCATTTAAAATGAAAAACAAAAGGCCACATCCTCAGTGTTATAGCCTGTCTTTAACTACACTTTTTACATTTGTAATTATTGGAAATCTTTTGAGAATATAACTTTACCACATCCTCGGCAATCACAAAAATAAAGAAAATAAAGAATAATAAAGAAAACCTATATTCTGATAGTTGTGTTTGGACATTACAGTACATTGGAATTGTGTATTGAGCAGACTGTTTCGAAATGACAGCTTCTTCCTGGTTTTGTTGTTCAGAGAGAGCACTGGTGAAATCATGATTTCCTCATATACTGTTGCCAAAGTTCATCTCAAAGCACCTCTGTCCATTTTATTACAGAGGAAACATTTTATATGGGGAACTGAATTGATAAACTAAGGTTTATATATCATGGACACTGGCACTTTGGATCTCTGTGTCAAAAAGGTGCTATATAAATAAAGCTTTACTTACTTACTTACTAGTGCTGATACTGCAAATACTGTACAGAAGATTATTGTCATGTCCTGGGAGGAAAAACTCAGCCTCTCTTTATCTTTTCTGTTTCCTCATCTGGGGGAATAGGGGTTAAAAAAACAAAAAACAGCAGATCAAACCTGTCCTTCCACATCTATTAGTGATTATATAATTGTGGGTGAGGAATCACGCTCAAAGAGAGTATCTTGAAATCAAAGTCTTTATTCAAACAGTGCACAGAATCTCACACAACCCAAAGAGTAAAACGTCAGTATTTAAGCACAATACAAGTTACACCCAGTATACGTCAACTAAGCCTAGCAAAAGCTAAGTTGTCTCTCGTTATTAGGTAGCATGGGAGAAACTCCAGGTTGAAACATCTTCTGGCCTTGACTGTGTGGTATGTTAATAAGGCAATAGTTACATCTCTACTGTATCTCTATAAGGTACAAAATCAGTTACAGTTTAACTAAATGTATTATTCCAGGCCCAGTTACGGTTGCCTGGTACATTCATATATGTATGTGTACTGTACAAAAATAAGAACTACCACCACAGGTGTACTAGTGATGGTTTTGTTTCCATTGTTGTGTTCCAGGTGTCATGACGCTGTGGTCTAGGGTTAGCAGCTACTAAAAGGCCAACACATATGCTAAATGCCTAAATATTTATCAACCCAAGAGAGGAGGCAGGCCTTACCTGAAACCCCAGGTGAGTACAACTCTTTCTCTGCCATGACGCACGCTCGACCACGCGGTTGCAACAGCTCAGTCATGTCCGCTCCTGTCCTGTTCTTGTGTCAGCGGCCATGAGAGGAGCTCTGCATTGGCCTCAGTTCAATTTGGTTAACAAATAGATGCAGACAGAAAGTAAACTGAAATAGTTAATGAATGAGGGTTGTTAGTCATTGTCTAAACCTCGCACCCCTGGTGTCTGCGTTCAGGCTACGGCTGCCTGGTAATATTGAGATCATGATTGTTTCAGGATTCCAGAGAACTGCCTGGAGCTCTTTATCTAACTGTGGCTTCTCCTTCCTGTTCCATCACTCCCTGACACATTTCAAAATGACCATGGTCTCATTTTGTTAAATGATAGCAGCCAGTGTTAAGCTAACTGACAAACACTTTGGATTTTATGTGACTAGCTTATTTCAGAATAAAAGATTTGCCAGTTAAACGCTTTTAATGTGAAGCTCAGGAAATGCAGTAGGAAATGTTGTGTTTTCCTTACCAATAACTTAATAAAACATTTTGTTCAAGCACAGGTCTTCTTGCTACTAATGCAGCTGCCCCCTGCTTGCCTTTAGAAAGAAAGGTTGGAGTTACTTTTGTCTCAGTATTTACCGTCAACACATTCACACAGTGATGACAAAGGCCATCACAAACAGAATTCATTCAGACACATTTATAAACTGAAGCACAGCATTGAGAGCAATTTGGGGGCTCTCCCTCCTGAGCCACAGCCACCCTAAATGGTTCAGTACTAAGGCCTTTGAACTAGCATAACTAGAATATTACCATTACTAATATTAGCCATGACAAAAGTCTTAGTTATCCAAAATATTGAGGTTTAATACGTAGTCCTAGATATTGCCATTTGATTATACATCAATATGTTCATATTTATACTTTCTTTTGCAGCATTAGTGATCAAGATGTGTGAAAAGTGAGAATGGATGACCAGGAAAAAGGTAGAGCTGATTTCTTATGACATTTTATTTCATGTGCTAGCAGTAAAGTGTCTCCATTTTAATTTGGTCTTTTAAAATGATTTTTCTTGCAGAAGTGACAGACGTTTGCGAAGAAGGAGCCAACGCTGTCATGGCAGATCAAGGTGAAAAGAAGGTAAATAACATTTAGTGTTTTGTCACTTTCTACGTATTAAAAGTACCCTGTAGAAGTCTCAACAAAACACACTGTATCCTTAAAGCATCTACAAGGAACTATCATTTTGTGCTGATTCTGGCGGCCCCTGTGTACTATTGTTTTCACCACCACAGCATTAAGAATAAATATATAGAAATAGTAAATCTTCTCACTGATGGTCTTGTTTGTAGGTCATATAAAAGCATCCATATTCTCTGTTACTTCCACAATGTAGTGCATATCTGTTTTTACAAACACACAAAACATCTGTTTACTTCCTGTCGCCTCCAACCTTATGATTATCTTTTTGTATGATGTTTGTAACATTTTTGATCCTTTTGATATTCACCTCAGTGTCTTTAAATTGCAAGGTTAGCCAGTCAACTAGCCTAGCTTGCTACTACAATGAATAAAAGCACCATCAAGTTTATGAAAGTTCTCTCCCCTTTCTTCCTCAAAACAATAATAATAACATGTATTTATAGAGCACCTTTCAAGGGACTCAAGGACTCTTTACATGTAAGAGACAAACAAATAGCCCATGAACAGAAAATAATAGAGGTAAGGATGATGACATTGACACAGAACATAGGCCTTGCTGAACAGACTGACTTTTTGAAGGTCACGATGGATGTGGCGTTTCAGATCACTGTCAGGATAAAGTTCCAGAGAGTGGGGGCGGCCACACTGAATCCCATCTGGGAATGGTAAGTTGACCCATGCCAGAGCAGCAAAGATTTTGGAAGGGGGCATAGAGATGAAGGAGGTTGGATAGAATTGTATGGGGAAGGCTGGTTGCCAGTGGAGGTGGATGAGGGTGGGGGTGATATGCTGCCAGAGCTTAGTGCAGGTGAAGACCGTGACGAGTTTTGCTCATCAGTCAGATGATGATGAGGTGTTTGCTGAATAGGCAAACACCTCCCAGATGGTACACCATTACAGTTGTCCAGTCTGGAGTTGATGAATGCAGAGAGGTCCAGGAGAATGAGAATACTGATGTGGCCAGAGTTGGCAGCGATGAGGAGGTAATTTTGATGAGGTCAGTCTGTGCTCTGAAACCAGATTGAAGGGGTTCATAGATCTCATGGTTGGACATATGCTGATGCAGTTGGGCAGCTCTTTCTGGGATCTTACTAACAAAAAGAAAGATTGGAGATCGGCTGGTAGTTGTAGAAGTCATCCAGATCCAGACCTGGGTTTTTGAGAACAGGGGTGATCTCTGTCATTTTAAAGCTATAGGGTCCCATTCCAGATTCCAAAGAAGAGTTGATGACGGCCACAGAGATGGGGCACAGGGTAAGCATGCCTTGACCAGGGTTGTGGGTATGGGGTATGGGAGGCATCCAGGGGGTGTAGTAGCCAGTTGATGGTGGAGAAAAGGCACCCAGCAAACACAGCAGGGACACCAGAGCAGAAAGGACCATAGAGGTTGGAAATGGTCCAGGTGCCAAAGCAGAAAGTCCAGTCAAAGGGTCGTGTAACTTGGCACTACCTGGCACTGCAGACTGCATTGTGCCCTTTAGTGTTGGGTTGGACCTTGAACATGCTGTATGATATTAAAGTAGTCCAGTAGTGACAGAAATTCAGCACTAAATGACCAGCTTCTGGAGTCCACATGAATATTGACGTTCCAAGTAGTAGTGTAGATGGTGAGTAGCTCAGATAGCTCAAACTTGAAGGTAGCAGGGGTTTCTGGAGGATGGTAGACAAGGACCTCCTGGAGCTGCCGAGGCCCTGCCGGTGTGAATGCAACACACTCAAATGAGGTGACGCTGAGTACTGGAAGTTCTTTAACTGCAATATCGGCTCAATGTATAACAGCAAGCCCACCACCATGACCCACAAAGCAAAACTGTTGTAAATCTTGCTGATTTTAACGTTGCAGCCTAGCAGCTGATCAATGGCGTAAGTTGGGTGTATAAAAAGAGCCACAGAAGTACAACAATTAAACTGTTAGCAGTACAGGACTGGTGCTATACTGAGTGACTAGCTAACATCACTAACAGTTATTTAAGACACTGACTTGATTATCAGAATGATCAAACACACTATATACAAAACAAACGGTAAATACTTTTAACGAAACCTAGTAAGTGACTGACATATAACACATTTGAAAGGAATTGTTGATATCCATGTTGTGTGTACATTGGCTTGCACTCTCATTTTCCCTTGCCTATGTTTGAACTTACTGTGTTTGTTGGTGCACCACCACCAAACCATAAGCAGTTTTCTGTTGTATCACTTCATCTTCATGCAAACACATCACTTTTTAAAAAACATTACTCCATAGTACCACTAGTGTTCAACTCCACAGGGTACCTGTAAACCTTTTCAAGTTGTTGTGCATATCTACAGTATACTTACTCTAATACTAATACACTAAATATTATAAACAAATAATTTGTGCAGTAATATGAGTTGAAAAATTTGAGAAAATAATGGCACTTTTTTATTTTAGTGTCAGGAAGAGGATCTGTCACCTGACATCAAAGACTGGAGTAAACATCAAGTGAGAGAATGGGTTCTCAAGTTGGATAATGTGGACGACAAAGTCGCAGAAATACTGTTTCAGCAGGACATTAATGGGGATAGTCTTTTGCTTTTAGATACAACAGACTTAAAAACATTGGGTGTGACTTTTGGACCAGCAAAACTCATCATTCATGCCAGAGATAAGGTAGTGAAATTAAAGAAAGAGGAACAAACAAGCTCTACAAATCAGCCTGGACGACCATGCAAGCCTTATCCATTTTGTAGGTACCATGACACATATAGATACATGGAGAGCAGCATTCTTGACATTACAGAATCCGGTGCCTCAGACCTAATTGAACCCTGCCACGAGTATAAAGGTTTCATCAATACAACAGATGAAACAAAAATGAGCAAGTTCACTACTGAGGTTATTCGCTTTGCAGCTGCTTGCATGAATAGCCGCACCAATGGCACCATACATTTTGGAGTAGGGGACAAGCCAGAGTTCACCCATGGTGAAGTGTTGGGAGTGGTCGTTGAGGACAAAGAGGCTTTTGCAAATGAACTAAAATCTGCCATTGATGGCTATTTTGAGCATAAACACAAACAGACTGCTCAAAAGTGCATCAAACCTCCTCGATTTGTTGAAGTTCTAAATAAGAATATAACATCATCTGACAAATGTGTGATAGAAGTGGACATAGTTCCTGACTCTACGATCTGTGAAGAAAACATCTTCCACATTTACAACATGGACACAAAAAAAGCCAAGAAAAAAGCAAAAGGTAAAGAAACAACCAAAACTGATTCGAAACCATTCAAACGATTCTTTGTTCGAGATGGTGGTAGCAGCAGGGATCTCCTCGCACCAACCACATTCGCCAAACCTATGGAAGAGTACAGCCAGTTTGCTGACTGCATCGCGCAATTATCACAACTCCGAAAACAGGCTGAAGAGAAACACCTTAGTGTGATAAAAAGCAGTACTCAAGGCTCTAGACTAAGTCAGATGATAACTGGTGGATCATTATCATTAGATAAGTCACACTTTGAGCAGTATGTGATAGTAACTAACAAATCACATTCAATCCAGTTTGAATCACTAGGATTTCTTGTGGAACTCAACCCAACAGCTGTTTTAGACTTTGATCCAGAATCAGCTAAAGATGGATTACAGCATCACTTCGAACAACAGAGTACAGTGAGTGTCCATTTACCAGCACGATATAAAATCACAGAAGGAGTTGAGGACATTGCAAGCAAGTTGAAATTAACTCGAAACACCAGCTGGGTATTCTGCAATGGAGGTATTGAGGATGAGGTACCTTCAGACATAGACCAGTGGTTGATGGACAAGGGAGCTTCCATTCGAGATGTGATTTCTTTCTTGTGTCGGAAAGATGTGCTTCCAAACAAGAGATTCCTTGTCATTTTCTTACTTTTGTCTACAGTGAGTGAGAAGATGGACCCTCTTGTTGAGACTTTCAGTACATTCTGGCAGGAACTCAAAGGCACAGAACAAATCCTGTGTATATGTGACAATGAACAAGCATTTACCTCCTGGAAGGACTTAATCAATGCTCGGTGCGGAATTGACATCTCTTTTAGATGCACATATGAGCTCACTCTTACTGAAGTCAATGGCACTATTCTTAGTCTTCTGTCAAAAAACCGCAGATCCAGCCGTTTCCTACCTTGTGGTGGGGGAAGCAAAGTCCTTCTTGAAAAAAAAGTGGAGCGTAGCATGAACACCCTAGAGGTCTTGTGTGTGAACCAATGTGAAGGGGGAAACGAGGACAGAATTGTCATAGAAGAGAACTTCTACAAAGGAGGAAAAGTGTCATGGTGGAATTTCTATTTCTCGGAGCAGCCTGGATCCACACCATTTATCAAACGAGACAAGTTTGACTTCATCATGAACACAGTCATTCCAGATTTGTGCTCCCTGAGAAAAGCATGCGTGTTGTTCAACCTCATGCATGTACCTGGATGTGGTGGGACAACTTTGGCCATGCATACTTTATGGGCTCTCCGAGACAGATTCCGTTGTGCAGTCCTCAGAGACAGCAACGCTGACTTCACTGAAGTAGCTGAACAAGTGGTCAAACTTTTAATGTATGACCATGAAGAACAATTACCACGGGTCCCTGTTTTGCTGATGATAGATGACTTTGATGATAAGGAAAAAGTATTTGACTTGCAGCAGCTCATTGAAAAAGAATGTGTGAGGAAAGACATTCAGTCTAAGTCTGCACAGGTAATACTCATGAACTGCATGAGGTCAGAGTCCCCTGACGAGAATGAAGCAACTGAAGACACAGTATTCATTGGAAATGATCTGACTGAGAAGGAACAGAAACTGTTTGAGGAAAAACTTGTAGAAATAGAGAAAACACACAAGAATACGCAAACCTTCTATGGATTCATGATCATGAAGAAGAACTTCAAACCAGAGTACATTCAGGGTGTGGCCCGCAACACCCTGAAGAGCTTCAACATCAGTCAGAAACAGGCACAACTCCTAGCTGTTTTAGTTCTGTTGAATGTATACGGCAAGGGTGCCTCTCTCTCCGTCTCTCTATGTGAGGAGTTTCTTGGTCTAGAACCAAAACCATTTTGTGGAACCATCAAAGTTGAAGAAGGATTTGGGAAATTTTCACCTTTAATTACCAGCTGCTCAGTTGAGAGTAAGGTAGTATTCAAAGCTGTGAAAATGATCCATCCAAGTATTGCAAGCCACTGTTTGCAGGAACTTACAAAAACACACAATGTGAGCAAAGCTGATATTGCAGACCTTCTGCTGACCACTAACAAGTTTTATGAGAGCACACAAGGCAAAGACAAACTCCTGCAAGATGTTCATCAAATTTTGGTGAAGAGATATCATTCACAGGATGATGAATCGAAGTTCTCTCCACTAATTCAAGACATTGAAATTGAAACCCCAGGACTGGAAGAGATGGTGCTAAAAAATGCATCAAAAAGATTTGAGAAAGATGCCGTTGTCTCTCAGTTACTAGCCAGATACTATTACCTAAGAAAGAAGGATTTCCCAGAGGCAAAAATTTGGGCACGGGGAGCAAGAGATCTTTCCAAAGACAGCTCATATATGGCAGACACATCAGCACAGGTTATCAAGCATGAGCTGAAGAATGCTATTGCAAACTGCAAGGAAGAGCCGATTAGTCCTGACAAACTGAACATGTTTCTCAAAATGGCTCAGTCAGCAATAGGTGCATTCAAGGAAACACAGAGCCTTGCAAAGAAGGAGTCACTTCAACGATTACAAATCAAGACAGACAACTGCCCTTTTAATATATCGGGGTGCCTGGGAGAAATTCAGGTTGGAGTACTTGTCATTGGCGTGCTGGCAAAGACCCCCATATTTTCTTCTGACAATATCCGCCATGACATAATGAGTAAGGTTCTCTCTGGAGACGTAAAGCTTCAGGATGTAGAGAGACATGATCAACGACACTGCAAACACAGACCCTACTACTTCATTCTCAGACAGTTTGAGGATGTACTTGACAACCTCAAATATAGGATGAAGGTGAACTTCGACTTCCTTGACAACTTTTATGTGAACTTGGGGTCCAGATTTGGAATGAAAGACAGTCGTGAGCAAATAGTCCAAAATGAGGTTTTCAGATGTTTCAGACAGTATGCAGAGCTTTTTTGCAAGACAGACTCTGCAGCTCTTTTGAAGTATAAAACAATGCAAACAATGTTCAAACTTCACCAAGCAAGACAATACCTGGAAATGAATAAAGCTGATACCTATGCTGGGATCCTGAATTGTCTCTCAAATGGCACCTTACCTGACAAAATGGAGAAGATTGCTCGGCAGTATGGTTTTGTTTTTGATCCTCATCATAACTCGACTGTGAAGGAAAGAATCAACTTCATCTATGTCAATGTTGTGTTGAGTCGGATCAAACTGGAATCACCGCTCATTTGGCCATACCAGAACCTGATTGGTTTCCTTTGCCAAGTTCTGCGTGAGCCAATCCCATTAAATGATAATCTGCCACTGCACTTCATTGCAGTTGTGCTGTTGTGGCCACAGCAGCACCCCTCCGGTTCAGAATGTGGGAGTCTGGGGAAGTACATCTCACAGATGAGGACCTCGTATCACACAGTGATGAAGGAAGTGTACAATGGGAAGAGGCCCACTATCCATTTCTTCCTGGGGAAGAAGCAGGGCTATGACAGACTGGTACACTTAGGGGAAATCAAAAGGTGCATCATGGCTGGGCACGAACAGTTTTCCTCCATTTGGGCAAATGGCAAAATATGGAAAGAGAAGAAAGTGGTGGAGCTCCTTTGCAGGGTCACTGGCGAGGTGAAGAACGACTTGATACTGGCAGATACTTGTATCCGAGGTCTGAAGGTCGAAGTCACTCCAGTGTTTCGAAGTCAGCTTAGTGGCCATTCTCAGGGCTCAAAAGTGTCATTCTTTATCGGTTTCTCAATGAAAGGCCCCGTTGCACTCGACATTAACTAGACTATGAAAGCAGTCTGTACCAACTGTACTGTATTTTCTGCTTCTCATTGTAGATCCACCTGTTTCATACACCCTTGTATACTTTGAAAAGGGATTGAGTTGCTGTGATGCTATGTTACATTTTTGTGTATTCTTGCCTGTGTACATTACATTGTTTTGTGTTATTTTTAAATATATTTTTTTGCCTTTATTAAGAAGACAGCTCAAGATAGACAGGAAGGGGATAGAGAGGTGATGATAAGCAGCAAAGGGCCAGAGGTTGAACTCGAACCCGTGGCCTCTGCAATTTGTTTTGTAAAGGAAATCATTTGTCAAGTATAACCTGAAAATCAAACCTCTTAAAAATGTTATAGTGTGTAATGTTTTTTAATAATGAAATGAAATAATGAAATTATCTGACATTTGAAGATGAATTCAACCTTTTGTCATGTTCTGCATTAACTGAATTGATTTAATAATGTGTTATGATATGAAATAACCTGCATCATACATTTACTGTTGGGGAAAAAACAAGTATGTAGTTGCAATGTTTTATGTATCATATCTTTGATCCTGCATGTTTCATTATTGATTTCAACGATGTTTTACTTTTTATTTCAACAGTCATTTATTTTTACTTGAAATACATTTTTTTAACCTTTTTTATCATTATGTGTTACATTACTTAAGTGATTTTGTACACACGTCTTTTTCTGACATTCCATGAAAAACAATGACGAACGTTGAGTTTTGTAATAGTTTAAAAAAAAAGTACTGTAACATAACCATGTGAGAATGTATTTTACTGCAATATGTGTACAAGTTGTCACTGTATTCCTAAAAGCAAAGTACATTGTACTAAGCTGTATTTTTTCTTAACATGCTATAGTTATTAATGTAGAATATAAAGATACACACATTAAATACATACATATTTACAATAAGTACAGTAAAATAGTCTTCTTTATTACTTAAGGATGTTTGTACCTGTATCAAACACTGGAGGGCGCCATAAGCAAATAAATGATAAAACCTTTGCGCCCACAGGGTCTGTGATTGCCCATAATATAACTCAAGCAATGTAATATTTTATTCTTCACTGGTTCTTTTTTATAAAAATCATGTTTAAGCAAACTTCAACTTCACTTTGGATTTCATGCTGCTGGATACTTATCATATTAAATCAATCACTGCATTAAAAGTGAAACTGAGAATGAGGCTCACTTTTTCTTTTGCCATCCTGTCCGAGGACATAATGGATGTTCTTTTTAGTAGAATGTCCTCCATTTATTATTTCTTTTGGCTTGATGATTATGAAAACCTGGAATTGTGCTTTAAGAAGGGAATCTCCCCTGTAGAGAACTTTTTGTGCCAAGCTTGGGAGAGAAGGCAGAATATTTTAACACTGAAAAGTATAATAATGTATAATTTGTATATGTTTGATCACTGTATTTTTTTATGTCTTGTAAGCCTATTGGAGTTGATGATCGATGAAGCACATCAATTAAATCAATCCAAAATAACATCAAAATAACACAAAGCTGGTTAGATGGTTGTAAGTGAAGGGATGGAGAGTCTGTTTTGTGGTGTCATCTGAGGTTTGAATGGTCAACAGACCCTTTCTATTGTGCGTAGCCTTGCACACACAAGCTCCTGTTGGGGTGCTGCAGATGGGTCATGTTGATTAGGGAGGTGTGGGTCCTGTTCCTGAATATGTATGTTGCTTTCTGGCCTGTCTGAGCGCAGGTCCTCAGCCTCAGGAGACAGGCCTAGTCTGTGTCACGCTGATGTCAAAGCAGCAGATGGCTCAACAAGTGACAAACATCTGTAAGAGATTGTATGTCTAAATTTGAGGAGAGACAGCATATAGACAAAAATACCCCACAAGCATCTGTTCGGTTTTAATATCTTAGTCTTTAAGTGAAACAAGATAACACTGAATGTCATGATCTACAACACAGGACAGCATTTTCAGGCAATGCAGATTTACATCTGGAAGCAGTAGAATTCACAAAGAGATTCACAAAGTTGCCCAATGCTGTTTCATCTGTGAAAGCAAGAAATCATTAATGTCTTATGTTTATCCATAATAATGCATCATAATTCTTATGTTGGTTATATTTTATATGTTGTAAAAAGTACATTATTTGGCTGTGAATTGTAGGGGAGTAGAAGTTTAAAGTAGCAGAAAATCAAGTAAATGTACTTAGTTACTTTCCACCACTGAAAAATGGAAAATAAGAAACTAGCTGAGTCAGATGTTTGCCCAAAGTATGTGTGGCACCACAACACATGGCTGAAAGCAATCTTCAAAAGGTCATGTTTTGGGGGTCAAAGGTCATTCTGGTGATAAGTGTGTCCCACCAATAGCATATTGTAGTGAAAGAGAGCTGTGGACAGATACAGCACGGTGTAGATTCTGTCTCAAACAGGGTTGACCTCCTGGAATGCATACGGGTTTATGTAGATGACTGAAACCTGCACTTTCAGCATAGAATCAACAAGGTCCAAATGAATGAGCAGGACATTATACGTCTGCTTATCTCTGAGTATAGAGCAACTACATCTTCATAATGCGCAGTTTGGAAAGTGAAAGCACGTCACTGTGTCAGATTACAGTGAAATTAACATGTGATTTATACTCTTTGTCAACCTCATGATGGACAGTTTTGAAAAAAGGCTTCTTTTTCCTTGTCAGAACCTGGGGCCTACAGTACCCACAATGCAACTCGCCCATAGTTCACTCAAGCACAGATGATGGGCGGGCTACGGAGCTCTGATAAATTCCAGGTTGATATCTAAGTAAGTTGCTCAGTGAAGCAATCCAGAAGAAGAGGGACACTTTTTCAAACTAATTCAGTAGCAATATTTTGAAGAATAATCAATCAATCGAATTTGTATAACACATTTAATACAGTTTACTGCAGTTTAAAGTTCTTTACAGATGATAAATAGTAAGAAAGAATGGAGTAAAAATTAAATAAGGTAGGTTTAAAAATAGAGTGCAATGATAAAAATGACAATAAAATACAGCTATAATGATAGTATTTAATAAAAGTTCAACTAAAACCTAAATAGAAACATCAACATTACAAGAAAAACAGGCAGAAATAAAACAAATAGAACAACGTGAGAGAGCTCATTTAAAAATACTGAACAATGAAGGAAATAAGGCTGGTTCTAATTTTTCTTATTGTCCTCAAAATGGACAAGAACCACAAAGAGAATTGTTCCTACTGACCAGAAGCCGTACAGGGATCATGGAAACACCTGGAAATTTATTAACATAACCAAATATACTGGAAATAATCTACGTTGTCCTGGAAAATGCTTATTGTATTTTAGCCCCTCTTAATGTTGGTTAACTTTTCATGCTTTTGATGTTCCAGAAAAAAATCTGAGAGAACTCATCTCCTCGTGCACACAGTGCCAGACTTGTAAAACTGTTGGTAGGTATAAAGTTCCCACTATCACAGAGATCTTACGCCCTCATTACACTTGCGTCTGGCTGTGTCCAGTGGCTGACTTTCATGTCAAGATGTTATAAAGCGGAGCTGTTCCCATCAGTATTGAGCTTAATATTTAAACGTGTTACATCATTTGTTTGTAGTCATTTGTTCGACCAACCAGACATCACTATCTGCTCAGTGGCTCTCAACCTTCTTCCTTAAGGGACCCCTTTTATAACATTTACTAAACAAACAACCCCTGACTAAGTATTTTTTGGATATTTCATTTTATAATTAAAACTGTACGATGAACCCAAACAGGGAACTCTACAGGAAGTTTTGGCGTAAAACAAGTGTATTTGGATGAATTTTGAGGCAAGATATTTCCTGTTCAGGGAACCTTTTTAATACAATTCTCTTGGGGTCTGTATTTGTATTCTTAAAATATATCTTTAACAAATTTACTTTTCTTTACAGAAGTGAACCAGATTAAGAAATATAGATCTACTGTGTATAATTTCTTACTCGCCCTAAAACCAAGAAGGCCTCACACCTCCATTAAGCTTTGGCGACCCCTAGTGGTGCTAGATATTATCCATATGGTGAATGCACTCTTTAGAATTTAAGCATAAGCTTGGAAGAACAGTCAGTATATCTTCATTTGTTGTACATACACTGTAGAAAATGTGGCCTGTCTGAGAGCGGTTTTACTTCCTCCCCTGCAGAGAGCGTATCAGAGCTGTGCAACACTGGTCTCAGCTCCCAGTCAAAGTCTGACTAAGCCCTTTGTTGTGGGAAAGAAATATCTCTGTCTTTCTTTGGCAGCCTCGGTGAAGTTTTTATTTTCGACGAACTGAAAAGCACGTGTGTTCCTTCAGCGGTCAGCGGGGATGAAAATGATCCTGATCAACTTGCGCCATTCTGCCATAAAGTGCAGCTGTCCACCACACATTAACACATCTGTGAAACGCTGAGCCGGCTGAAAATTGGAAGAAAAACTCCATGTTGAGCTATGCCATCAGAGATTTCGCCTTCACAAATGTTGTTTCCCACTGCAATAATGCATTCCATTCATGATATGCTGTGATCGTGAAGGGCTGGAATAAACATTTCTAGTACTCGTTGGTGGAAGTTAACACACAGATTGCACTGTCTCACTTGCTTTTATGAATAATGTCACGCTTTTTCAGCTATAGTCATCAAAGATTTTAATATGTGGACCTGAAGGAGAGTTTCCCACAACCCCCTGATCGGCAGTTCTCATTGAGCCTAAAATACACGACCCTGTTGCCCTTTCTCCCAAAAGTCCACTACCACCCAGCCCAACCTCCCAGCTCTGTCTGCTAGCTTTGAATTATAACCTTTGCTCACTGGCAGGAGCACAATGTGACGATTGTGATTGTATTTTAATTCTGATGGCAAGTGAAAAAAGATAGCTTCCTCTGAGAATGGGCTAGATTTATGGGCCTTGTCCTGGCTGCCGGCCCCACATCCTCTCTGATCTGCTTTTACTCCGGCGACCCCTCGACCCTTGGGGGTCATTAGAGAGCCCCCGAATGGTCCGTTTGGCTGCCAGCCCATCTCACACTGCTTGTTTTCCAATCAAATCACTATATTTAACGGGGACACGAGCCCAGGGCCAAGTCCAAACAGACATCTGTTTGAAATTGTTCCTCGCAATTATTTCACACAGAAGTTCTCCCTCTACACCCCCGTCCGCACTCCTCGCCCCACTTTGGTCTTTTGTTTGTTGTTGTTTGTTTTCAGCAAAACCTCCCCCTTTGGATTGCTAATGGACACAACTGAGATGAGAAGGGGTGGGGGGGTGGTGGGGTTTGGGCGGTTTCGAGCGACGCGCGACCTCTGGCTCAGGAACGCTGTCCAGAGATACCGCGCCCCAGCAATACCGGAAACCAGCGAGGCGCCTGCTGCCGTGTGACTAGCCACACAAAGTTTCTCCTCACCTCTGACCCCGCAGGCCAACACCGCCACACTCACGCAGCGCATGGACAGCCTTCCCAGTGACGTTCATCACAGCAGCCGGGCTAGCTCCAGGCGTTGATCGGCCCGGCGTCGCACTGGACAACTGACACCAACCAGGATCAGCACTGAGCGATTGTTCGGACTCTCAATTTCGTACTTTTTGCGCGAAAAACACAAACAGTTTCTGCTCACTGGGCGGACGCACAACATTACGCGGCAGCGGTCTCGCCGCCCTGCACCGCGCGGTTCACCCACACGGCCGTGACCCGCGGCCTCTTGCGGAACATCTCACAACCACTTCTGCGAGTTCTCCTAGAACACAACTCACGTTTTGTCTTTCTCTTCAAGACCTCTTCGGAACTTCAACTAGAAGTCTCGGTCCACAGTGCCTACATTAGTATTTTGCTTAAATGTAATTTTTTGAGTATCTGGAAATGATTCATACCCTAAAACTGTACAATCTCAGCGAAGGGTTTTAGAAGGCAATAAACCATAATAATTGATAAAAAATTGAAATTGATAATAAATATGATGTAAATTTATATATTAAAAAATTGACTGTTTTCATCACTTGATAAAAATGTAACAATTTCTAAATGTAGAACATGAACAACAATTTCTGACACAATATGTGATTTTGTTGTTGTTTTTACAGTACAGTACAAAAATGAACTGTAAAAACGTTATCATATGTCAGCTGTTTTCACAGGTAATGGATAATCGTTTAGTGGAGTAAATTCATTTAAGTGGTAAAATGTGTATGAAGAAGATGCATT